AAGCTGGCTACAGACGGACGACTGAAACGGAATGCTGAAATTTTTGATACTACGAAAATTCAGTTTTAGCCGCGGAGGATAAAAACATAGCTAATGAAATATATTAAAATGGCATTTCGTAAGGATAATCGAGATAAATGGTAGAGGATCGGTGCTACGGCACAGCGTAATCATCCATCGTGGATCATCGGCGCGTGTCGATTACGCGTCCGCGTGTTATGTAAGCGGCAATAACGCGTGGTATAGGGCGCATAGTAGCAGGAATTGAAAAAGGAAAAAGTGCGAGAGAGGCCTGTTCACCGAACAGACACGACTTTCTCTCATCTCGACGTGCTTGCTGGATGCCGGGCTGGCGCGGCAGCTTCCTTCGATCATCCGTGTCCGTACGATGCCGCCTTTTCCTCTATACGATAAAAGTGAAAATAACCTCGAGACGTTTGCGATGGTATTGCTGGAAGCGGTTCACGCACGCACCCGATGCGCACAAATGTCTCGTAGGTGCGTTCGTTACGGTTTTTCATAAATAATCAAGCGTATGTCAGCATAAATAAATGTCGTGGAAAATATGTTTCCATATTTTTATGGTATTATACGATACGTTGCTAGGATCTCAACGACACGAATCTTAACGAATATGCTGAAATTATTTCAGATAGCAGGTATTTATGAAAAATTGGATATAACGTAACACGAAGACGCGGAGAACGTACGCGGCACTTAAAATAAACGTAAAGTGGCACAATGGACGAAGGATCGATTACAACCGTATGATAAGAACAAGCGGAATTGTGTCACGGACCCGGCGAAGAAACGCGACGAGAAGAATACTAGTTTCCAATGCAATACAATATGATAGGTAGATTGCGTAACCCCTGAATTTTCATTAGCGGTAATATCGGGATCGGGAATATGTAATTCGAATGGCCGGCAAAGTGAAACAAACGGACGACAGGACGAGGATGCTCGTTTTTTCTTAAAAACTTTAACATATGGAAGATGATTTCGTTGGATCTGATCGATGCAACGCGAAGATGCAACGCGCGTACACCTGCTGTAAACATTAGACGGAAAAATTTCTCTGTCTGTCTCGCTTTCTTTCACCGATTCCAGTTACATCGCGTCGGCCGCAGGAAAGCCAACTATTCTATATAAGAGAAATAGGAAGAGCAACGTAGAAAGCAGCAGAGGCTTGTACTCGTCAGGGCGGACGTTCTCGTAATGCCCATCGTACGTTATAACCGCTCTATGCAACATTTCACTCGAACGGCTAAATAAGAATATTCGACGATTCGAAATATCTTACCGTTATCCTGAAAATACGTTAATAATATTGATTTCAGGTATCGAATTATATCTTATACGAGTAATACACGGATCGTGGAGAACCAGCATCCGCCGGATACAGGAAGAGATATACGCGCGTACGAAACGTATGGAAAAGATTGATAAAAGAGAAAGGAAGAAAATGCAGCGATTTATGGTGTTGGTGTAAACGCAAGTTCTCGTATACGTCGTACGCGATGAAACGATCGCGGAACTTCGCTGCTGTTCGTTTCCCCCTCGTTTAGTTGCGGTAAAAGTTTACTTATTTTCCAACAAGGTACTTTCATAATCGCGAATCGAACGTTGGAAACGTTCGATTTACGCAGTTACGTTTGCCGCGCGTACGATACATCGCCGAAGAAGCAAAAAGAAATCACGACACGAGCGTATACCAGCAGCACTCTCGATGAATCGGTATTACGATAATTTAATAAGCGTGGCGAGTAACTTGCGCTTTCTACGAAATAAGAAAGTTTCCCGCTTTTCCTTCGTCTTCTTTTTCTTCGTAGGCAATAGTCTTTGAAGAGAGAAGAACGAAACAGGCAATAAAGAAGAATTAAGAACGAGAAAAAATTCAAGGTTTCGGCGCGATCGCGAAGGTCATGCGCGCGCGTCTCGTCCCGCTAGACACCGTGTCGTTCAGCGACACGTACTTTCATTCTCGTTGATCGTTCATTCCGAAGAACGTCCCTGAAATCGAAGCCGCGACAAGAACGAAAGAGGCTTGTCTGGCTGCGATCGATCGTGTCGCGATCATTTCGAATTTCTTTCGTGGAATTTCCGAGCTATCGTGATAGATCTGACCTCGGAATATGACGAAACGTAGCCACGTAATTGGATAGGTATCACGGTAAATCCTTTGGTAAATCACGGTCTATCCATTGAATTCGATCGTGACCCGGATACGCCAAAATACGTCGTGTTAAGCAATGAAATTTCGTTATTTCGTGGAATAATTACGTATTCGCGTGCTTACTTATTGCTAGAGGGACGATGTAACTATAATTTGTTACGTCCAGATTACATAAAATCGATCAAACGTCTTCCCATCTAACTTGCCGTCTAACTAAAGAAGCAAACTTACCGAAGAAACGAAGCTAGACAGCACGTGGGAAAACACGGTGTTCGGTAGTTCACGAAATGGTTCACACGGCAGAGTGCATCGCCCTGTCCTAAACCCTTAACCGATGAGTCGGCATCTATGCCGATCGACCGGCCTGGCCACGATTCTCTCTATCTACCGCTGCTTAATGTCAGAAAGTCGGAACGAACGGCCCTTTTAAAGATGCCATTCACCTTTACCATCACAGGCAAAGGGCATTGCACGGTTTCTCGAAACGCAGGGGACGTAAGCACGTGAGAAGCACTCGTAACAGGATGCATACTACGCGAGGTTACTCTACGCTCGTACCAACTGTACGTTGTAACGCGTTCGACTCGTTGATCCTAGAGATTAGACGATTCTCTCCGAAACAGAGCCTCTGCTCGTCGCCTCGTTTCGAATCTTCGTATAAAAGTCTCATTCCCAAAATGTCTCTCGGTTTGCAAAAAACATTCGTGTTACATAATATATACGAAATAAATACAAAAGGTATCACCTCCTACAGAGTTAGTTTCTTTCTTCATCCAAGCTGCTGGTTTTCTTCCGTTTTACTCGCGCACTCGCCACGAGTTCCGAAATTCTGACAATTTAATCCTTGAGTTACGAAATGTACGTACAACCCTTTAAGATTTTCTTCGAGCGTTAAAAGTGTTTCCGCTGCATGGAAACGAGAGCGAGATCAAGACATAAAAATTGAAGGACGCGAGAGGGAATGCAAGTATTTGAATATTATTAGGCGGTGGAACAAGATCAAGTTGAGTTCCAACGACTCAAGTTTCTGACAATATCGTTGTCGAGCAGGTGTCGTTCGGAGCTGTATAATCAGGTAATCTGGACAAAGAAAGTTTGACGATGCTGCCGAATATCTTAAGATGGGTAAATAGATGAAAGTTACTAAACTTTTATTTAAACTTGAAACTAGTATTTGTCGTCGTCGTCGTCGTCGTCGTCGTCGTCGTAATAATACAATAACGCGTGAACTAGACTGCTCTTCGTACGTTTCTCTTCCTATTGTTTGCTATATTTTGTATAAATTTTGTATTTTCTAATATCCCGTTAACCAAGGAAAAAGAAATATCGCAAAGTACGAGCGACGAGAGAAGAGGTAAACTGTGTTTCAATGAAACATTTCCTCGACATTCGCAACTAGTATCAATGTTCTAGGAACAGGTGTTGGATCGGTTTCCGTCAATGTGTTTCGTATAATTCTACAAGTTACCGAAAGGAAAGCAGTAGCGATAAAAACCACCTATATATAGGTTCTTAACGAGAGAAAGAAGACGAGAACGTATCGTCGCGTAAGCGGAAGCTCGATCTTCGTAGAAATGGATTTTGAGATAAAGCGAATAAAAATTATTTGGTTTGGTTCAACTTTTACCAGACGTAACGAGTATAACGAGTCGTATAGCGTTTCTAAAAACACTCGCACGCTTGTTTAATACGAAGAAAAAGTTTAATGTCGTTTAATCGAGCGATCGGCCATCGGTCATCGGCCATCCTGCGAATAGAGAAAGAACATCCATTTGGGACGAGCAACGTGGAAGACGTATCGCGACAAAGATCGTGTCAAGCTGTCAAAGTTACTAGGAAAGTGTACCGCGAACAACGAGACGATACGTCTAACTACCGTTTAACGGATTCAAAGGTCCCGAGAGATTGCTTCTTGGCACAAAGACGCCAGTTTACGGACATCCGTACACGAGGATCCGAGATTTACACGCGATTTCCGTTAGTCGATCCAGCCGGACTCTGGCTGTCGTTCTTTCCGAATTATGCAACGCGCGACTCAGTCGACGAAAGCGCGTTCCTGCGGAGTTGGATGCCCGTAGCGACCTTCCGGAGGTCGTAAGACGACGAAAGTACCAAGTACCCGGTTCTTTCTTCGGAGAAGAAAATTTCACGACTGCAGAATGCCCGAGGGAGGCTACTCGATACAAACTCGCTGGAGTTTGCTATATCGACCGCATCGACTAGAGTCGATATCTATGTAAATGGGGAAAACTTACACTCGATCCTTTAGTCTCGATATATGCCGCTATCTTCGCTTTCTTCGTCACGCGATGCTACACGCATAATCCGATTCCTAGATCCGAGACACTTTCGATCGATAACAAAAACTCGCCTCTTCTATCTTTACGTTTCCGCGAAAGTACAGTTTATTCAGAATTAAGGTAAGTCTCTACCTAATCTAATAGGCGGTACATTCGCAAATCGATTTTACAGAGGATCCACGTGGTCAACCGCGTGTCGCAATTCGATCGTAGTAATTAAACGTAAAACGTAAATAGGAGATTATGGGCAGGTACTGGCAGATTTCAAATGGATTGGAAAATATTCAAGCATGATTTCATTCCTATTGTGCGTCGAACGCTACGAAAACCCACGCACGAAACTTTATTGCCCCCGTCGAACCGTCCGACCGCCGTCGTATCGTGGATCCCTGTCCGATTCTCGCCCGTATCGAACCGGATACGCGACGGCGGATTTCTGCACTAAGAAACGTGACGTGCTGACCGTATGCAGTGGAGAAGCCGTTTACGATATGCAGAGCCGTGCTATGCGCGATTGAGAATTTTATTTCAGCCGTTTGCTCGACGTAATCGCAATCCATTCGCAGATAGAACGAACTTAAAACGAACGAAAAAAAAGCGAGACGAGTGCCGATCTAGGAGATTCGGTTCTTGTCTCGGGCAAGTTAGGTAACAGCGCGAAGCCGCGGAGCTGATTCCAAGTCGATGTTCAGTGTTGCCGCGGTGCTCCAACTAACACGATCGCCGCTCTTCCTTTCGTGCGCGCCTCGTGTCGATCGCAGCATGTCAAAGGGCCGCGATAAAACGACACGATCAATTTTCGTGAATATCTGTCATGTGATTACTAAAAAGTTACACTCTTAATCGCCTTCACCATGAGAACCACGTTGTAAGTCATCGTTTACCATTTTCTTTATTTTCTACGAATCGAAATTTCAATATCGTTCAGTATCGATAACGAACGATTTCATTTATGTCAGACCAGCGAATAATACGAATAAAATACTTGTTTCTCCGTTATTTTTTCTCGTCTGGATACGTCATTTTATAATCGTTTCTTTTCGACGTATATCTAACAACATCGTTTTTATTTCTCTCACGTAGATCGTCACGTAATTGTCGAATTAAATACAAAAAGTGTAATATACGTATGGAGGAAAAGCAAAAATTTACCCTCTTGTTAGGGTGCCGCTAAATCTGCATAAAAGGACATCGACAAGATATTCACTCGACTCTGACAACAAGTTTTAACAGATTTTCATCTTTTATACGCAAATAATATACGCAGAGTGTAGGCAATTTGTTGTGACTTGTGAGTTGTGAGTTGTGAGTTGTGACGATAGAAAGCATATTTCATTTAAAATATATCAATGCCGAATACCCGATAACTCGCCTGTATCGCGAAGACGATGTAACGATACGATTAAAAAGCGAACATACTATAAAGAGATACCGTGGCTGGTAAACTCGTACCAAGAAACGCAATTATTAACTTCAAATATATAACTTTATGAAAGGCAATGCTCGTTACTTTCTCGCAATAATAGATCGTGGAATTTCGATTTCGCAGAAATTCGTTAATATTTATAAGAATACGTATTACCCAGTAGCTCTGAAAACATCGTTTTGTTTAACCATCTACCAAATATTTTTACCTTCTTGTATTTAATTAATTCTTATATTTATATATTTATATTTCTTATAAAAATTCTTTTCTTACTTTTTAAAAGGTTAAATGTCCTGTTGTGTGTGTTTACGGTGAAAGTTGCATAACGGCAACATGACTAATCTTGAAACGACCGTTTCGTTTCTCTAACATAAATGTCAAGACCTGATCTTTGCGAGAGGTCCTTCGGTTTAATTTAATTTCATGTTATTCGTCGATTACATCGATTTTGTTACGTAATCTTGCCACTAGAGCGGCTTAACTAGGACACAACGGGATGCAATGAAAGAAGACAATGAAAGAGCCGAGTTACTCTAATAACGAAGGTTCGTTAGGTAGAATTTCAGATTGGTTAAACTCGTTAATTAACTTTATTTTATATAGACTTTTATTTTAACGAAGGTAACAGTTACGAGAAGCTTTATGGAAAATTATTATAATTCGATCGATTGAATTTCAAATAACGACTGATTTGTTTTGCTAAAGTTAAGAGAAAATTGAAACACTGAGAAATTGCAAATTTTGTCGTGAAAGTGATACACGGAGATTGTTAATGGAACTTAACGTACGTAGCAAAATAGCAAATCGTTACAGGTTAAATTCGCTAAATAATTCCATTCTCAAATGTTTATGGGCATGATATCGGATAATAGTTCGGCAATGGAGAGATATCTTGTTTCTAAAATTTCAATTGATCGTTTAAACGTGTAAATCGTTGAATATGAAAGAAATGTCACGTAGGTATTTAAAATACCGACAAGATAGGCACAGTTTGATCGTTGAAATAGCAGTAGCGATCATCGAATGAAATTAGACGAAACGAACAAAGTTGATACTATGCTAAGTATACGCTTCGTTAAGAACGAGAAGGAGCGAAAAAATATTCAAACAAAAGGAAAGAGAAGCAAAGCGAGAAAATCCTAACGTTCGCTTCGAATAGCTGATATGTTTGCAACAACCGCGTCAAACTTGACAAATTTCATCTGTCTAACCGAACGAACGACAGCTAATCGTTACATTTTAACCGCGTGAATAAGGAGAAAGTTGGTTGGCAATGAAAGTTACAAGTTAAACAATTATGTTGATGCTTTTCGAAGATACACAAGTACGTATATAGTAGGTGTAAGCAGTATCCTAGAATCTGATTTAGTCGAACTTCCCGCCAACGAACGGCTAGATTGTAAAAGTGTTCGGTTGTAAAAAAATGCGTCCGGCTACTGGCATAACGCTACTAATTTTTATCGGATCTACGCGCGCGATCTACTATTATGTAACGAGAATAAAAACTGAAAGGTAGGCTGAGACGCGAAACAGCTACGAACACATCGAACAGTGGACCAACGAGAAATGGGGACGAGTTATGTCACAACAGACGACAAATAATAGGTGTGCGATATGAAATAACATCGATATGAAATACCCATAGGGTATAAATATATATGTATATATGTATGTATGTATGTATGTATGTATGTATGTATATAGATGATTATGAAATGGACTCGAAGGTATTACGGTGTTAGTAAAAAATCGTCTTTAAGTAGTTTAAAAAAAAAATTAAAAAGAACGGAGGTAAATAAATGCTCTTTCTTCGAAGGGGCGGGGGGCAGGGGGCGGAAGAAATCTGTCATAGATTCAATAATAGTAATCCACATAATACGCGTATAGCAATACAATGGGAAAACAAATGACAGAAGAATCATACCTATATCGTCCGTCGTCGTTACGATTCAGATAACTATAACCTTTGAAGGAACTCATGATCGTTGTTTCTTCTCGTAATAAATATCATCGACGGTATTTATCCTCGTACATTCCTTGCTACTCCCGAGTAATATCAAAGTAAGTAGAATGCAAGAGACGAAGCAAACACCCACACTAATAATTTTGTACGGAACACTGCCGTCATTATTGCAAACCGTGTCACTATAGTTACACTTTTTTCGATATTCGATTGTTAATTAGGAAATATTTGAAAATTCTAGTAACTTCGACCCCTTTCTAGTCTTCGTTTTGAAAAGATATCCTGAATTCGTTAAATTCAATGGTATTCGCTCACCGAAGAGTTACGAAAGCAACTTTACAAGTAATTTAAGAATACAAATTCAAAACTCTGCATTTACGTAATCCCGGTCAAATTCTTTCAGTTAGTCGGCTAAATGAACATAGTAATTTATCTTGATACGTTTACGCGTTAAAATGCAATAAACGTGAAAGTTTTGGCGCAATACCTCCCCCCCCCCCCCCC